GTGTGTGTGTGTGTGTGTGTGTGTGTGTGTGTGTGAAACAGGCTGACAGGCCCTGCGGCCTTCTGAAACACCCCCCCTCCCCCTCTGCCCCACTGTCCCTCACTCTAGTTTCCCTCCCCCTCCAACCCCTGCTCCTCCCCCATCCCGCCCCTCTCAGCACAGGGATATCATTATTACCCGTGTCTGGCCCTTGATCAGTAATGTCAACATCTTTCATATTGACGAATGTGCTGTCTGCCTGCATTGTGCACAGAATGGTTTACAGCCCAGCAGTGGACATGAATCACTCGTCTGCCACACACACACACACGCACACACACATACACACACACGTATCTGACAGCATACAGACGCACACTGAGCTCATACAATCACCCTCACATACAACACACGTMCCTGGGAGCGCACACACTCTCAACACGCACGCATATAAAAATCAACTAAGACCACCACGCCGCTCAGATAGCCTCTTGTTTATATGCATGCACAAACACACATATTTCCTTGGAGAGTTCTGATGAAAGTAAACGTTCAGTTTCATTAGCAGATTGGCTGCAGTCTTCAGTCCTGTGTGGGTGTGAGCGTTTCGCATGCATACAGCATAATTATTTGTTAGAAAACAAGATTTGATTTTAACATTCATTGTTGCTCACCTGTTTTTGTCACTGACCATGAATATGAATATACCTTTTTTCTGCGTTATAACAAAGCCATGAATCAGTGTCAGACATATTWTACATCCCGTCATATTTGCGATTTCACCTTGTGATGCATGAATCATTGATGAATGTCACAATAAGAATTCACCAAATACTCGTTTTACATCTTTTCTACAAGTAAAACTCCCGTAAACTGAACAGATCAGTCAACAGAGATATGAGCAAAGCTATGGAACCTGCCAGATTTTTGTCCAATGTTCAATATGTCACTGACAAACTCACATATTTTGTTTGTTTAATGCAATGAGAATGTAGTTATAATGAGGAAAATGTTATTTTAGAAGAATTTTTTGGAGGGAGACTATTTAAAGTAACAGAGATGTTTAAAAAAGCAATTGCATCCACAGATCATACAAATGGCATTCAAAAACTGAGATGCTTACCTATTTAGAGATTTTTTTTTGAATCTGTATTTTTGCGTGTACTTGTCAAAAACAAATGTATTTTAAAAAATTACCCAACAGCCTATTTCATGAAATGAAATAGGCTTTGAGTGCTAAATATCACAAGATTACTGAGATTTTTTTGTTGTTTTCTGGGATTGGCTTGCTTTGTCCTGTTTTCTGTCCCAACTAAAATTTATCAGAGGGTTGAAAAGTTTGATGATTAAAATGATTCAGAAAAAATAGTAAAATTAAATTTAATTAATAAAAAAATGAATGTGATCCAAAAGTTTTAGGGGCCTATTTAGACAAGATCAGAAGGTCCTTCCTTGATTTTTGGTGGCACTATTTTTACACCAGGGTTAGTGTTAGGGTTAACCCCCAAAACCCCTAACTCCAGTCTGAATTCTGAAAGTCTGAAAGAGAATCCCGAAGCAGCAGTGAATAATTAYTTATCACTTACTGTGTTTTTGTTTTCATGAAACCTGCTGCTATCACCACTTTTTATGTTCAAGGTGGTTATACTGGAGGGTTGGTCAGGATTGCACTGTGCTAGAAAACATGTTGCTATAATGTTTAAATGTAGATAATGCAGGGCAATCCATTGGTATTTGTTTAATTTGCTAATAGCAATTGGTGAACACAACAATACAATATTTTTTTTTATTATTGGCAAAAAAATACTTATTTAAAAAAAAGAGTCAGAGTAGTTGAGGCCCCAGTCAGTTCTTCTTGTGAAAACTTTGCTCAGTTCTCAAGCCTTGTCTCAGGTGATTATGAAAAATGGTGAGGCTTTCAAGATTTAAAGAATGAACCTCTCAACATCTTCTTGCTTCTTATTCCTACAGATGACGGCTATTGAAAACATGGCAGAGAAGCTGGAGACGTTTGGCTCCTTGAAGTCAGAATCCAGTGAACTGTTGCGCTCCGTTCCATCCATGTTCGACTTCAGAGCCCCGCCGTCTGCCCTTCCAGAGACGCTGCTGCGCAAGGGCAAGGAGCGCTACACGTGCAGGTACCTGCAAGAACTGCTGTTTGGTCATGTGCTGTTCTAACTTTTAATAAATGCTGTGGTGTTTGTGGTTTATCAGTCTTTGTATACTGACAATGTGTTGCAAAAAGTTTTCTGAAACCAATAAATCATTACTATATTTTTTATTATTATTTTTGCTTCAATATAGATACTGCGGAAAAATATTTCCTCGCTCTGCTAACCTGACTCGGCACCTCAGGACTCATACAGGAGAGCAACCATACAGGTAATACATTTACTAGTCTACAGATTTTCTCTCTGTGCTGTGTGTTTTGTATATTGTGGGTGTTTATTAGTGTCGTGCCGTTGTTTTAAAAAAAGCACTGTAGTTTGTTTCATACTTAACAAAACTGTTAATGCATAATTGTCCCGTCAAGAATCATGTTTAAATACAACATAAAAACTAACACTTTACTCYTGACAGAAATGAGAATGGAAGCAGCAAACAAATAAAAACAAAAGTAACTCATTTGTTAGGAGCATCTGCACATGTACCGACTGCAGTACAGTTTTTATACTGTGTTTTTCTTTTTTTATCACTTCAGTGGAAAAAAGAACTTAATATTAGTTTCTTAATTTCTTCATCATCAGTGATTTTTTTAAGTAAAGAGAAAATAGAAAAAGAGGGAAAAACAAAGAGAAAATGTAATTAGAAAGATTGAAACAGAGATTATAAATATATTAAATACACACCAAGGAAACACAGGGCCACACACCCAACATCTGTCCGCTCACCTAAAAACAAATGGATAAATAAATGGATGGCATGCAAACATATACAGTATACACATACATATACTGTGTTTTTCTTTGTTCTGATATTGATCATTTCCCCTGTTGCTAAATATTTTACCTGATGACAAGTGGTGACCATTGTCTGGGTGACAGGAGGGCTGTAAGCTGAATGAAAAGGAGGAAGTTTGGTAAAAATTAGGGAGATGAGGAGCCAAGGCAGATGTCCAGGCCTGGCAGCTGTGCTCCTGTCTCTTTTAATTATATAAAAAAAAACCTTACATTTATGGGCAACTTTTTGTCTTGTGGACAAACTTTTTTGTTGTTGTTGTTGTTGTTTTTTTTTGTTTTTTTTAGAAGAGTTGGTAAAATTTTAGCAATTGTGTCTTGTCAGTCTGTGGAAGAGAGAGAATCTTTCAGGGTTTGCTGAGGCAAAAACAACAACACAATCTATTTCTGGATGTGTGTGAAAAATATTTTAGTCAACTTATCGCATTTGGATAATRAATATATCCTGATTAGAGCTACTTGGCTTTGTAGTTACTAAGGTGGAGGAATGTTGGCCCAAAGTTTGGAGGAGGCCTGTTGACCACAGGGGAGAGACAAAGACAGATGCAAAACCCCCTCCTGCCTGGGCCTGATAGCTTGCGCTCTACACACTGGCAGGCTATTAAAGATCGCCGCTGTTTATTGTAATTTTTTTTTTGTGGAGATAACCGGGAGGGTTCCTGAGGGACAGCCAATCGAGCGAGCTAATTCCACCAGAAGAAAAAGATGTAATCTTCTTGTATAATTTTGCATGAAGAAACTTGGCAGGAGCCCCTAATTTTTGCAGGGCTTGAACCAAATCTGTTGCGTGCTTTTTTTTTATGAGAGAAGAATGCAATTTTATTGTGCTGGCTGAAGATAAGAGGCAGAGCTGTTTCACCTTAAACAGGCTCCTCCATCATGTCTGAGACTGCAGGACTTCTGGGACTGTCTGACTGAGTGTGTGTCCTGTGCTGTTTCCTCCCAAAAAAAAAAAAAATTCTGATTCATAACGTAGTTGTTTGTTTCTGCTTATGTACATTTCATACTGAATGCTCATTGTCTCTGTAGGTGTAAATACTGCGACCGCTCCTTCAGCATCTCCTCCAACCTGCAGCGTCACATTCGCAACATCCACAACAAGGAGAAGCCCTTCAAGTGCCACCTGTGCGACCGCTGCTTCGGCCAGCAGACCAACCTCGACCGTCACCTCAAAAAGCACGAGAACGGCAACTTGTCAGGTGGGCAGCGGGTGGTGAAGATTATGGAAATCTGATCCAACGGCACGTTTTATCAGAGAAAATGAGAGCCGGTTTGCTGACTTGTGCGGTTCATAAATCCTTCTGCTGAATATCATAAAACGTAATTTACTCGTGATTTGAGACAATCTGAGAAATTAAATTATATAAATCTGCCATCGACCCCTGCGACGGCTCTGAATATTTTCTTTGGAATGAGTTGCTTTCATCAGCAGCACAAGTCACAGGTTTGATAGGTTAGATCACTCTGACTGAATCAGCAGAACGAGTCGTGACGACTGGCCAGCAGCCATCGGCACCAGAGGTGACTGACACTTAATCAGCAGCAATGTGCAGTCCATCAAATGCTAAATCAATTGTGGGCAATGCTTTTTTTTCTTTGTCTGTTACAGCATCAGAACATTGAAAACTGTTTGACAAAAATGTTTTCTATCTGTTCCCAAAGCAAAACTAAACGTTTTCGAACTTTAATTTGATCTAGATTAGAGATGAACATTTCAGCAGCATAGCACCACAAAACCACACCAAAATGGCCGCAGGGACTCATCGCCATTTTGATCCAAGTTCAGCAAAAAAAAAAAAAGATTAGGGTCTTAATTGCAAATTTTATTTATTTTTGTTTTTAAGTGAATCTTTAAAAACACAAACCAAAAATAACACKTAAAATAGTATTTTAGTGCCAACAAGGTGATTTCCTGGGAGCTATTAGCTGACAGCCTGTAGATCAGGGGTGTCAAACTCATTTTCTCACAAGGCCACGTGAGCATAATGGTGGCCCTCAAAATGCCAGTTGCAATTAACTTCGACATTTCATGTTTTACTTCAATTGATCATAAAACCTCATCTCATTGCTRCGGCTGAACACAGCTAACAAACAATAACTGAGCTCTACGTGGTATTTCCTGCATAGAAGCAGTGTTTTAACACWCTCTCTTACACTGAAAAGTACTATGTGTACTACATAAATACTATTAAAAGTTAAAGCAAGAGAGTTTGAGTTGTGGTGAGTAGCTGCAGTCTTGTATTCTGAACTCTCCAACTTTCCGGCAAGTGGGGAGGCGTTCCAGTTTAAATTTACAACTTGTAAGTGGGAAGTTTTCACTTTCCAGGACAACTGGGCCGCAACTGGCTGTCGGCCACTTTTGAATCCTGTGCACCTTTACCTAGTGGTGGGATAAAATAATCAATGTGCATTATAGGAGATGTAGCTCATGTTTAACGCTGGCATTAAAGCAGCTTATTTTGAGACAGTAATACAGGGTTATTCATCTAAATTGCTCAGGGGTCCACAGCTACTCAAAGCCAATGATTCAGGGGCCAGGCAAGTATTGTTAACATTCAACTTTTATACTTGTTTATTTTGTTGCACTGAACCATAAATTTAAAGTTTACGATTGATTTAAAATCTATTTTTATATCAAATTAAACAAAATAAATAAACTGGCAGGTGAGTTGAAAATCATGTGGCCTGTGGGCCTTGAGTTTGACACGCACTGCAGATTACCTCTAAGTTTGCCAGATTTATTAAATATTTGACCTTCATTTTCTGGTTATCTGCTGTAGAAAGWATGTTTCTGCGTCTTCCGCTTCTTTTGTCTATCATTTCTCACTTTCATATTTTTTTAAACACACTTCAGTAAAAAGCTGTCATGTTCAGGTACAAGTACTAGAAAGGCGCCAAACTTAAAAAGCAACCAAATCAAATTATTATAAAAGATCAATTATCAAAAAATATTGGTCAAGAGCACTTTAAAACAGAAAAGTCTAGATGCTTGGAAGTAAAAATGAAAACACCACAGTATTACATATGCAGTGATTGTATGATTAACTGAATCACATGCCCATTGAATAAAATTTATTTTTCTTTCCCGTTTTGCAGGAACTGCGATGTCATCCCCGCAGTCTGAACTGGACAGTGGTAGTGCCATATTGGACGATAAAGAGGATTCCTACTTTAATGAAATAAGGAATTTCATCAGTAAAGCGGGACAGAACCACACATCACCAGATCACTCCGAGGAAGGGTAAGATTGGATTTATCAGCTTTACGTCTCAATTTTTGTTCCTATTATGATTTATGTGACCACCAAAGAAAAAGAAAATTTAAATAGTGCAACACTGGAGTTGATGATTTATTATTTGAGGGATTATAATAGGTCAACTTTTATCAGGCTCATTTTGACTTAAATTTCCGTACCACCCAGCCAGTTTCTGTTAATCATCACATCATGTTCAGAGGTATGAACTCAAGTTCGTACCTCAGATACTATCACACGTTTCAGTTCTGTGATGATACTATCACAGGTTTTGGAAACATTAAGCAGCTCTTTATGTAAATTTCCTTTTGACCACATGTGTTAAAAATTATCTTAGTGCATCCAACAGTGTCTGAGCATTATTCAAATGGTTTCTTGCAGCCGTAGTCAGATCAGATAGCAGCTAAGGGGGACTGTTCAGGCCTCCAAGTTGGCTTTTACGTGGCTCACGTAGTTAAAAAAATCACAGGGTACGTTTTTAAAGGCCTTCAAGTGATCTACTGGATTGTGCTGAAGACGTGCAGGAGCTGGACTGGGTGGTAGATTGTTAGAGGGACCAGAGACAAAGTGGAGGTGGAGAGGGTGGGGGTGCAGTAGTTAGACCACCACATCTGGAAGCAACATGTTTGCCTACAGGAAGAGGGTAGAAGGGGTGGGGTCAAAGGGTCGGCCTGTGTTTCCTTTCAAAGTGCAGCACTCCTGACTACTTCTGATAGATACTTTATCCTCAGCAAATTACCACGTTTGAAAGCGTAATTAGCGAATCTGTTTTCTTAATCACAGAGTTCTCGCTCTCGCTCTCTCTCTCTCTCTCTCTCTCTCTCTCTCTCTCTCTCTCTCTCTCTCTCTCTCTGTCTGTCTGTTTTGGAGCCGGCTCCTCCTTGCAGCCGTGCGAGCTTGACACGGCATGAACACCGCCTTGTCAACTCCTCATTCCAGCAGGAGCTATATGTTGAAAGCTGAACATTGTCAGCTGGGATAAACAATGAGATTTCCTTTATGAGCTACAACGAATTTTTTTCGAATAATCACCTCTTTCATCTTCATTCTGAATAACTTCTGCAGTCGAGTGTGTGCATTTTGAATCTGGTTCAGGTATCTGTGTCGGTCTTAATGGGTTCTCCTGCTATCTTTTTTTTTTGTTTGTTTGTTTGTTTCCATTCGCTTTTCACCCTCTTTCTCTGAATCCTTTGTACAACAAAATGGCATTTTTTCAAGCTGACGAAAAATGTCCCAGAGTGTAATTAGTGAATCAGTCTTAATGTGGTTCCAGATGATTTAACAAATGGTGGTTTCCTGTGACGCTGAGACAGAGGGACAGATTAAGACTCCGGCAGTTTGGATAGCTGGCCCTCTTGCTCTCCGCAGGGATGGAGGAATGGACTGGTTGGCAGTGCTCTCATAACTCTCCCACCAAATGGGGCTGTCAGCTAAATATTTTGCCTATTAGATGAATACAAGATAGTAGGGAAAATAAACATGGAGAGAGGCAGAGCACTCCATTTAAGTGCTGCAATGATCAACTCAGGGCTGCTGTGCCCGAAGGGGCCCCAAAGCCTTGATGACAAACAGGATTCCGGCTCTGTTGCCAGTGTCGGCTTCAGATCCACCACTTCTTGCTTTGTTTATCCCATATCTTCCACCGTTTTTGCTCAAACTGGAATGGAGTCTCACTCGTTATAAAACAAAAACCCACACCTTTTTTATTCAATGCCACAAGCTTGTGTGTCGTGTCTTGTAAATAAATAGATGGTTTTGATTCATAGCTCTCCGAATGTCTGCTACGTAATGATCTAATGAGTGTTCCTGATCTGCAGGCTGAATGGAGGTCCATTAGAAGAAGGGAAACCATTGATGGTAAGCCACGGGTCACAAGATCTGGAAGATGAGGAAGTGGAAGACCTAGACGCTGATGATGAAGAAGCGGAAGAACCTAGCAACAATTCTGAGAAAAGGGAACCCAAGGTGCACTCTAGCAGTCTTAGTGATGACATCATACGAGACGAAATGGACTTCAGCGAGCCAAATGACTTAAACTTCAGCTGTCAAACATCTCCAAGGAGGTACAAGTCACACATCTCGAGTATTCATGTGACCATGAAAATAAGAATATCTTCAAAATGCCCTCTTTAAAAAAAAACTATTTCTAGGTATAAGGACGAAGAGGAACTGAGCCACTACTCGGCCTTGGACCGCATTCATCGTTTTTCTGACCTGCGCAAGCTGGAGGAGAGTGAGTTGAGTGATGGAGATGGAGAAGAGGACGACAGAGCGTTTGACTCTCCTTCTCTGACGGAGGCAGTCAAACAGCCACTCTTTAGGAAATCGAAGTCTCAGGTACAAGAAAAATTGACACTTTATCAGACTACTGATTATTCCTTTTAGTGTAGATCACAGGTGTCAAACCTATCCAGCCTGTTTTTTGTTTGTTTGTTTGTTTCCCTGCTCAAACACACCTGATTTGCATGTGATTAACAGATATCTACATTTTATCACTGAATCACTAAATCAGGTGTGTTGGAGCAGAGAAACAAGGAAAACATGCAGGATAGCTGCCACTGAATACCTGAGTTTGACAGCCCTGGTGTAGATCTACTGTACGCCTGTATTAAGAATGTCAGTTCTAATCTCTCTGTTCCATCAGGCGTATGCCATGATGCTGTCTCTGGCTGAAAAGGACTCTCTTCACTCAGCCACTCACACCCCGGCGACCATGTGGCATAGCTTGGCACGGGCCGCTGCTGAATCCAGCGCCATCCAATCCCTCAGCCATGTATGACGTGGACATGAGACCCTTTCACAACCCCTGACYTACCTATGGCACTGGGAGTACATCAGCGCCACCCCCACCCCCCGGATCGTCCACAGAGTGACTGCTCAGCAGAACCACGGCCCATCTGACTGCCTTAAACACAGAGCAGGGTTACTGTCCCACACAGAGCCCATCAGCCACTGGTCCTAAAAACATCCAGCATATACAAAAAAGAAAAAAAATCTAACTAATTTCTCACATTAACCAAGTTGAAGTGATTAAAAATACTAAAGTAATAATAGCTGTATTTATTATTCTGTTATTGTGTTTTGCACATCAAAGGCAGCTGATAGAGGAGGATGATGGATGTGCTGATGTGTCATCACTAGAACGACTGAAACGCCCGGCAGGTGAAGAGAACATTCCACCCCAAGTTAGGTTGTATCTCTCTAGGACAGCTGGTTTCAGCCTAGCATGAATCATTGTGTGTAAAGCATTAGAGCCAGAACAAGAATCCCGCTCCACCCCACCTCTTCACCTCGAAGACCCACAGATGTTCCTTATATGTACACAGATGTTCCTTGTGTGCACTTGACGATAAAAGTGAATGAGTAACCTGCAGCTGAAAGACCTGCTCCCACATGAGGACAGCACGAGCAGCGCTTTCAGGAGCGGATGATGAAAGCGATCGGACTGAAATCAGGCCAGTTTCCTCGTAGCTGCATATGTGTGTGTCTGTACAATCATAGCACTGTACACGTTTCAAATAGCTCTTCTCCACCTGCGCTATCTGTGAAAAGATATAAATAAATGGATTTTTTTTAGTAGAAGAGAAGAAAGCGCGACTTTTCTTTGTTTTGTTATTGTTTCTTGTTGGGTTTTTTTTTTTTTTTTGTCATTTACTGAGATAAGTCACTAGTGCTGAAGTTCATTGTCATTTGTAAAGGGCATATGTCTTTTTCGAAAATCGTTGAATTCGTTCTAGTCAACCAACAATACCACTAAAATAGCCTGAATGCTAGTTGTTAGCTACTCCATGCTCGTGTGTCTTTCTTTTTTAGACAATCATTTTTTTTGTTCTTATTTGTTTGTGTTTGTTGATGTTGTTTGCTGTTGTATTTTTGATAATTGTATTTATTTCATGGCAAACTGTTTGTTTGTTTGTTTGTTTCTTTGTTTACTGAATAGCACTGCTCTTAGCCCGGTAAAAAACGGGGAGAATCCTGACCGGGCCAATCCCAGAGTTCATTGGAGGTTTGTAGATTATGTCTGAGTGCCGGATAGTATTAAATATACATTTCACTCTTTATTCTACTAATAAAACCGGTCAATGGATAGATATTAGGATTTTTTTCTATGACAATTTACTGATCCAATTGTAAAAAAAAATCAAAAACCTTTTAAAGAATGAATAATTAAAAACAAGTGAGGTTTAGTTTTGTCATAAGCGCATGATTGGTCTGGTAAGATCTGTATCTGATATTTTCTACAATTGTCTGCAAGCTTGTGAGATGTTCGATTCATGTTAATCCCTTGTGCCAAACCTATGATGAAATAACAGATTACTTTTGTTTATTTTCCCATTTTTGAGCGACCAGATTTCCTGTTCGTATTTGTTTTGTTTGTAATCGATTTTAAAAAGTAATCAGCAAGTTGAGGTACTTTGTTTTAATGCTTTCTACAATGTAACTGTTATGCATTTCAATTCAATACTGTGGGAGGAACAACTAAGAAAAATAAAAGATTACAATGTGGATTGACACATTTTCTGGTCTCTCTTTTATTTCCCCTTAAACGCTGAACTCACCCTTTTGTCCTTCACCTCCTTYGCATCTCCTCCTTCTAACCGCCCATTATTTTTGCCCCAGAATGAAAATTTTGACCAAGAGACGAGAGTTGGAACACCACCTGGCATTTTCTTCTGGCGCTCCCATGGCCTCCAAGAGTGACGGAGAGCCTGAACTCTGTTCTTCTTTTTTTTTCTCCTCGAGGCCTTATTGGCTCGCGGAATGAGAAGAAAGCAAAGGCTGGAGTGGGCTTTGAATGTGGTAGTGGGAGCAGAGGCAGGAATGTGTCCTCTTTATTTGTGTCCATTTGTGTGGCATGATGGATGAGGTGGGTAGATGTGATGACCTGGCTCATCGCTCAAACACTCAATAAGAGTCCCATCCTGCAGCAGGCCTCCCCATCCGGCGACCCCCCCACTTACCAACACCGCCATCTTTTTTGTCGCTGCTGCCAGCCAACGTGGGCGGACATTGTGGCTGGGAGCATTGGAGGTTTCGCAGCTCCATTGTCCAGTGGATAGCTCGAACCAGGGTGGGGGAGGAGTGGAGAAATTGGGCATGACAGTGAGGATGGCTGGCGCTGACGCTCCACATTTACAGTGCTTTTGGCACCTTAATGGATGGGTTGTTTTCTTAGGGCCTGTCGTCAGCCATCAGAGCTCCATGGGGCGTCCAGCTTTGATGAGGTCGCAGAGGGTCAGTCAGTGTTGATGAGGTCAGCGTGGGTCGTCCAGCTTTGGTCAGCTGCACTGACGGTAGCGGCGGCGCAATCCATGGTCATTGTGAAGTGGCAAAGATGTTGTTCCTGAGCACGAGTCCTGTTGCCTAAATATAATCAACATATCACTGATGTCATATTTTTTAGAATTGTTGGCACATTTATAATTTATAATTTTAGGAATATTCAAATTTTGTTTTAAAGTGGGGTTTTGTGGAAAGGCTATGAACAAGTAATATCTTATCTGTTGTAAACAGCTCTTTAAAGAACCACAGTCTTGAGACGTAGATTTTTATTATGACCAGAATGGCACCTCAGGGCTAGCTGATAGCTTGTTAGAATGAGGTGGTTCAAAGCGCTGGCTATAAAATATAGCAGATTTGAATTGTTCTGCGAACCTTTTCCCAGAAACTTTTAAAGRAAGCTTTGAATGTAATCTGAACTATTGGTTTTTGTATAACCACTCATATGGTCAACTGTACGTTTGGAGTTGTCCTGCTAAGACTAGCCGTTAGCTCATAAAATTAGTTATATTCAAATTAAAAAAGTCATCATAAATCAAATGAAAATTTTCATAGATAAATTTTTCTTGGTTAAATTAAGCAATAAACTTACAGAATTTGGCAAATTTTAAGATTTCACTGACTTACCATGAGTGTCAAAAACCGAGAAGATTTTGTTATGTTGCATTAATTAACTAAGCAAATAGCTGAAAGAAAAATGATCATTCATACTGGCTCTAGTGAGATTGTGAATGGATATTTGTCTTTATGTGGCTGTGATGGACTTGCGATCTGTCCCGTCCCTCCCACTGTGACTGCTGGACATGGGCACCAATGACCCCCATGACCCTGAAACGAAGAACAGAAAAAAGAAAATGGAAGGATGGATGAATAAACCCTAATCTACAAACTAAGGTCATTCAACAAATGGGACATAGTCATAACCCTTCACAGGAACCCTACTTCAAAAGTTTGTTACGTTTAGAATTGTACTTGCACTCGTTTGATTGGCAATGTTTTGCAAACATCACCTAAGATTCTTCTCACATTTAATCAACACGTTCGGAAAAATTATTGCCCTCAGCCCTGTATAAAAGGCTCAGTGTATTGTTAGCTAGGACTGACAGGAGCCTGGACGTCAGGCGAAACAGTATGTGTTATTAGTAGTTTGTGTCCCAAAGGGGCTGTATCCCCGAGCTGCTGAGTCCCTCCAGTGTGTGCATGTGATCTGCTGGGCACTCTGTGGGCAGATCATCGTGGGACATAGAGCGATTCGGCTAATGGGGCAGCTGGCACAACCTCAGAATCCATCAGACCTCATTACAGCTCCCATTCAGCCACCGTCTTTTCTTTCCTCCTCTTCGTCTTCCTTCTTGCCACACACCAGCCCTACCTTCCTTTCCTTTGCCACCCGTCCATGCCTTCCAGTCCCTCTGTGGCAAGTAACTTACAGCACCCGCTCGGCTCGGTGGAACATACATCTCAGGCACCACCCACCCACCCAGGGCGGGAGGCCATTGCAGCTGGCAGCTCTCACACTGATTGACTTGGCACCCGAGCTGATTCAGACACCAGAGGAACATTTGGGAGGAGGAGGCATAGAAGGGTGAGGGTGTGTACCCATAAAAATGGGGTGTAAAAAAAGCTTTGTATTTACTAACAGCTGGCAGAAGTAGGAGGAGTATACAGCATGTGAGTGTTTAGGAGGGGGAACTCCACAAATCACCACAGCAAGGTTTTGTTGTGTTTAAAATAAAGACAACACCGTCTGTCTGGATCCTCCAAATGTGCAAACGAGTGCAGGCTAATTCACCTTTTTCTTATCCTCCGGTTGTCTCTCCTTATCCTCCGATTGTCTCTTCTCTGCAAGCAGAAGAGTTTAAGGCTGTGTCTTCATTACTCTGTTTTTCTCCCTGGAAGCCACGGGTCATTAGTGTTATTGATGGACACTCAGTGCGTTTTCAGAGCACAGACTGAGACTGAGCAGAGCAGCCGTGCACATGGTTTTAATATGACATGTCTAATCAGGACAGGCGTGGTGGCAGAACCACTCAAAAACTCTTTTTTTTTTTTTTGCTGTTGCTCGCAGATTAGCCTAGATTGGAAAATAATTCCCCGAGCCATCAGCTCTGCATTTGAAGCACAAATTGGGATGGGATATAATAAAATATAGGCATCAGTGTAACATGATTTGACTCTACACTGATGCTCATAAAGCCTGGTCCATGTATGCATGCATCAAAGTTGAGACACAGTTGCTATTTCCTGCACACAGCTCCACCCAGTGGCACAAAGAGTAAATGTGACAACATCTATATGAGACCTCAAAGTAATCAGTTGGAACATATGGGAAGATCAAATCTGCGAAAACATATGAGATTTTTTTTATATTTTATTTATTTTTTTGTCAACCAAAAGTTTCATGTATTTAAACTAAAGCAAAACACAGATCCAGAGTGTGGGACACTTTCTCGATAAATATCTTTCCTTTTTACAGCATCAACATTTCCCATTTATTTTTTCAGTCAACAAGCACACAAATGGTGCATGACGTGTTGATATGATTCCCCCTCCCCTCATTTCTTTATCTGAGCAGACAGCTTTGTCAGCTGGAGTTCAAAACACCTCGCTGACCCCCTGCTCTGGGAGACCTTGGTTCAACGCTGAGGGCCAGAAATTATCTCTAGGACGTGAAGCTAAGGCAGCAAAGTGATAGAATCTCTTTTGTAGGGAGTACATAAATAAATAAAGTGGCGTATGCTTAATTACAGCAAAGAAAAAAGAGAAAAAGTACCCACGATGCAATCTTAGTTTTCACAGGCGATTTCACCTCTAGTTTCCTGAGCCCCCTCTCTTTCTTGCACTTCTGAAAAGCAAGCGTGCAAGCAACTGTTTTATTTTTGTTCCAAATTCTTACATTTTTATTCATTAACAGTGTAAAACAAATGTAGATTTTAAAGTTTTTAAATCATTAAGTATCACAATACCATCTAAAGATGGCTCCAAACCAAAGAAAAAAAACGACCTTACAAATCCGGTCTGTGTAGTTTTTGCCAAGTTTTGTCCTCCTCTCTACTGATCTTAGAGCATTTAAAAGGAATTTGTGGTGCCAGCTTTTCATTTGTGTCCCTGCTAACTGAGTGATCTCCGGTGTGGAGGGATGATGCAGCGGTGCAGTGGCCACCCAGCACTTACTGGACGGATGGCCTCTGTGGGCCTGTTTGACTGGAAACAGGTGTGTGTCATCTGAAGATGAAGGCCCAGCCGATAAACATTATTGGAGAACATCTGCTGCTTGTCACAACACAGAGCGAGCCACAATGCTCCGCCATCCATCAGACGCACCGGAGACTGGATGTGTGTGTGTGTGTGTGTGTGTAAAGGGGGTTGTTTCTCTGCCGCTGAGCCCGTTCACCCATCACTCACCCCAGGGATGCTGAACGTACGTAGGGGGGCCGGGTGCATGCTCAGTCCAGGCACCTGTCTGCTTCTGCCAGACCACAGTCGCCTTTTGGCCATTAGGAGGACAAACGCTTGAATGATCTTGAAAAATGTCCTCAGCAACACACACACACACACACACACACACACACACACACACACACACACACTTCAGCACAAGAGCTCAGGTGCAACCTCCCTTTTTTCTTTAGACTGTGATCAGAGAGATGATGCTTGAACTTGGCCTGAGTGAAGAGAGGTGGCCTGGTAGTAGCCTTGCACAATTATGTGAACACTTTGCACAAACGCCAATGCTTCATGACACTTACTTGTATGTTTTTGTTCCAGATCCAAAAAAGCTGCATCCTCAGTTCCGCTCAGGAGTTAAAGCAACTATTAGACAAACAGCTAAAAAAAAGAAAAGAAAAGAAATATCTAATGGAGGTGTTCAGAGGTTTTTTCCAATATTTATTGGATTTTCCACACAAGTCTTATTTTATCCAAACACATTAAATTTACAAATATATATAAAATATTTTGGTTTTATACAAAATAGCACCAATAAAATGCAGGCTGTTTTATACCCCTGGTGGTCTGCAACCTGCAGCTCTGGAGCTCTTTAGTCACTCTGCAGCGGCACTTTCACTTTTGGTTTTGTGTTTGCTTTCAGAATTTGCCGACATTTTCATAAAAAACTGTCAACAAGACAAACCACTTGCAAGTTTAAAAACTGATGGAAATTAGTTAAATTCTAAAAAAATATACATCAGCTCTCTAAGTTCAAATGTCTGCCATGAGTTAGGTTGATTTTCAYTCTTTCCTGTCTTTTTTATTCTAAAATGATCCAAAGTAAAAAATAATACATTCATTTTCTCATTACCGGTATTTGTAAAATGTTTCATTTCTTATTTACTGTATATTAAGTTTTTGATGTTGTTTTTTTCAGTGACACTGTACATTAAACCACATATCAGACCTAAAATTCATTAGAATGTAAGATTGCTTTTTACATCCTGCTAAATTAGAAACAGCTATTTAACTTAATGAGGATCAGTCTTTGGGATGTTCAGAGCATGCATGTTTTGCCTGCAATTCTCTAGTTAGTGCCTGCACAATGCATGAAGAAAACTAATTCACAGTATCAAACAGAGGGAATTTATCATGTGAAGAAAGCGTTTGCTGGTGTAGAATAATCTTTTCAATATGATATTCATCTTTTCTARTATTCCTAATCTTATTATAACAAAAAAGGAAAACTTAAAACATCAAAATGTATCCAAATTTTATAAAAATAAAAGAGGGGAAACGCCCAAGCAAGAGACATGTTGGTGAAAGTCTACCTGTAAAGAATGGAGTCATTTTGGTGTTTAGTGAGTCTTTTGTTCTTTTTCCATCAGAATTAATTCATGACATAACTTTGTACTGAACTGTTTTTGGTGTAAACAAACAAACAAAAAAGGATCAAATTGTGTGGCTTTCCTTCATCCTAAAACTGAATACTTTAAAACTAAYTAACTGTCAAAACGGACCCTTCCAATCAGCAACAGTAACCCATGTAATGCTATGAATCCTGCACAAGCTGGAGCTTTAAATCCTAAACACGCTGCTCTACATTTGATTTGGTGGTCTTTTGAAGGCGTCTCGAGTCAGCTCCTGTGGTTGATCGTCTCAGCCTTCAGACTCTGTGACGGACTGCCGGTCTCTGACGGCTCCGCAGAACCCACACAACCTCTTCGCGGATGATCAGAGTGAAGCTTCGCTGAGCCGAGTCCCGTGCTCGGGTTATGTGGTTCTGCTACCTGTTCTTCTCTTTCTGTGAGATACAGAGGAGCTCGGCTCTCCTGAGGTTTGGTAGGGCGGCGCTGTAAAGAATAAAAAAGGGGAGGGGAAGAGGCAAACAGCCATCAGCACAATGTGAAAATCAAAAGCAAATGTTCTGGGGTTTTTGAAGAAGAGGTAAGTGCGACGTGGTSTCCTGTGAGCTTGGCTTTGAGGAGGTGTAACGAAGACAGCCTGAAGCCCAGTGCCATGCTGGGGACAGATTAAAATAACTGTCAAGAGAGAGGAGCGCCTATTGAGGGAGACAGGGTGACACGCAGAGTGATGGGGCTCAGCCTCTCTCACTTCACGACACAATATTTCACTGAAGCTGTTGCAGCTTTACAGCTCTCTAAGTGTGTGTGTGTGTGTGTGTGTGTGTGTGTGTGTGTGTGTGTGTGTCATCATGTGTCCCAGTGTGTTTTAGCTTTACAGCTCAACATGTTTGGAAACAGGTTTACCTTCGCTACAAGTTGGGCCGAGCCAGGTAAGCGGACACAGACATCTCCCATTCACTCGATCACAGTGGGCCCCCTGGAAACACTGGCACAGCAGGGTACAGTTGGGGCCGAAACGGTCTCCAACACAGTCTGACAAAAAAAAGATAAGGCAGAAAAGAATCTAAATGAGAGGCCATGTCTGATTATCTGATTTATTTATTTTTATTTTTTGTGGGTCTATAACTTGGTGGGTAAAAGATGTTCTCTCAAAAAGTGCCATTACTTTTCTCACATCTCTGTCCCCACCGTCCCGAGGGACAGAGGCACCTTCCAGAAGATGGGTCGCACGGAGCCTCGCCAACGCAATCACACGACTCTGCACAGCTCAGTCCAAATCTGCCAGCTTCACATCCTGTCAAACACCAACATTTTACAGCTGTTCGGTCTTTCATATCATTGTCTTCTCCACATTCTGCAGCAACAATCAATCATTTAGCAAAATTAACAAATAAATATACATTAAAAAATATCATTATGTGTGCAACTTCAGACAAACATGCTAAAGAACATTTAGGGCTCCTGTAAGAAATGGCAAGTGTATGCTTTTGTGTGCTTCTTGTAAATGTTCCCCACAATAAATAAAAAAAGACATAGAATAAAGCATTCTCTCATTTTTTCACAAACACATAAAGTAAAGTTTATTTCAGAAGCATGTGCCTGCAGCTGCTCCTCAGTATCTCCAGCTGGAGCTCAAGTGGCTGTTCACAGTGCAGCTGAGAGCAGGTGGGAGGGCGCAAGGAGGTGAGAAAAATGCATTAATTAATCAGCCAAAAAAGTACCTGTTCATTAAATAACCAGCCTGCCTGCCTATCTATGTAAAATCAGACTGTGCAACCGAATGCAAAACATGTTTTTATTCATTTTTGGTGCTTTATATGTAGATACGTTTGCACAATCATATGTGCATCCAGCTAAATATTATTTTATTATTATTATTATTATTGTTAAAAGACATAATTCCACCAGTAGTTTCATGCATCTCATTTAATTTTTCACTTTTGGGTGAAATTAATACTTACGTCTCTGGCATTGCAGGCCACTGTAGCCTGGTGGGCACGTGCATTTGCCTGTCACGTGGTCACATGCTTGTCCAACCTTACAGTCACAAGCACTGGCACAGTTCATCCCATAATACCCAGAAGGACATTCTAGAAAGAGCACAAAAGAGAGAGTTCCTGTTGCTGAAGTTAAATACGATAAAGGCAAATTCTGTCACATTTTGTCTTTTTGGAAGTAAAGCAGTGATTACAAGTGTCACGGAGGCTCAAGGTACATATAGTTTTATCACAAGGCTTTTGGGAAAGTTTGCACACCGTGTTCACAGGCGTGTCCGTAGTATCCAGCACTGCAGCTGCAGCTGCCTGTGAAATGGTTGCAGGTCCCATTGTTGAGGCACGGACAGTCTTGTGCACAGTCGAGCCCATATTTTCCTGGCGAGCAGGCTGCATTAACAAAGCAATAACGTACAAGATACGCAAGATAAGTGACAAATTGTGAAACTCTGTAATCTAAGACTTTAAAATTGCAGGAAAAGTGGTTTGTAATGTAACAAAAATACACAAACGAGGACATTTTAGTTCAAATTCGGTGGAATAGCAGCTGAGAGCCATCCTCAACACATGCTCACAGTGATAACAGACTGGGTCTGGATCTTTGTTTAAAACTCCCGGCGCATTTCGTCAGCTCTGTCTGTTAGCAAAATGTCCAACTAACCACTGGAAAGTTTTGTATAAAATCTTGGAAAGTAATTATTGGTGCATCGAAAATTGATTAAGCCATGAAGTCAGCAACGCCGACAGAAATAAAAAAATAATAATAATTCACCCCACTCCTCACAAAAGGAAGAACCATTGAGAACTTTGCTTTACATTTGTTTATTTTGATGCATTGAATAATTAATTTAAAATTGAATTAAAATATTTTTATATTAAATGAAGACTACACATATAATGTGTAGATACATTATATATATATGAGGTTTCTTGATTTCTGTGATGCTCTTTCTTTAAGGCCAAAAGTTGTTTTTTTAACTCACTGGCAACCTCCAACCACCCATCCCCACCACCTCCCACCTCCCACCCTGTTATTTAAGAAGCATAGACTTAAGTTAATTAGCTGCAACAACCACCTTGAACTGGGTTATTGCCAAAAGTTACTAGTAATCAGTTGTAGATTCAGTCCAATCACTTCCTGAGATTTTCATTCTGATCTGTCATGCTGTTCATAAAATATTTTGCTAAAGGAGGCACTGGGTTGACTCCAGCAACCATTTTTAAATTTTGGCAAATATTTTGTGCACTTTATTAGCTCTTGGAGTATGCAATGACAGACAGCTTCAAGCACATCAAATTGATCTGTAAAATTGACGGACTTCAAAAAAATGTTTACGTTTGCCAAGTCTAACTGGCTGAAACGAACATCTTGAATCAGGTCGACTTTAAAAAATAATTAATTCTGGATGCTGATGATTGTTCTTTAATAGGTTGATTCAATCATTGTTTAACGATTTATTGTCCCAATGAACTAACAAACAAGTGACACACACAAGTGATTACACCATTTTATGGCAGTGAACATTAGTAAAGTGAGAGGTAAACTAAAGTGATGTTTTCAACAAGATTTGGTCGCTTTTATGCGGTTTATTTGTTGTTGTTTTTAAGTTTTAGATTTCCCACYACCAGAATCCACTTCTTTTCAGTTTTATTGAATTTGTGATGACAATTTTGCTTAGCAGAGGACACGTGTCCCTTACTCCGTGCTGTTCCCCTGTACGAGTGTTCACAGCCACTAAGTCAAAATATTGTTTTAGATTCTCTTTTTCTTTACTTTTATGATTACTTGGTCCAAACTGCATGCAAACCACACAAACACTTTGTAAGAAAGCTGCAGCAGTCAAAGTGAAAAGACAAGTAGTGCAGCTGTTTATGAAGTTTTAGAATACCTGTCTCACATCGGGGTCCAGCCCAGCCCAGTCCACACTTACAGGACCCATCAACAGGATCACATAAAGCTCCATTCTGACAGCTGCATGTGTTTCTGCACTGCAGGCCATACTTCCCTCTTAGACATGCTGGAAAAACATGAAAAAAGTCACCAAAAGACAAAAGTTGCAGATTTTTCTCTTCAACAATGAAACCGATGGGTATGTTCTCTGTCTGTCCTTTTTAAACACACACACACACACACCCACACACACACACACACACACACACACACACACACACACACACACACACACACACAC